GATATACCATCTACTTATTAGTGATTAGATGACGTTGAATAACGAATGTTGCGCCAAACAGTTGATTGTTTAAAAATGAACATATGTAATTATTAATCGCTATCAAAATGACTAAACAAGATCATGCAAGTACATATGGTTTTGAGATGAAGTAGTTAGTGCGGAGCGGTAGTTCATTGAACATAGACGAGCACAGCGAAATGATAAACATTGAGAAAAATCAAGAAAAATTAGCAAATTAGTTTTTTCTTGACAGCTAAGACAAGGAATAAAACAACTTAGTAATAAACACCACGCTGATTTTCCAATTGCATTTTACAAGTAAAAAATACCAGGCATTAATAGATGCCGGGCATAGCCAGGTTTACCAGTTTGTTAGTGATATAACTCTAAATAAATAGTAAATAATTGAAAAAAAAGTTCTTAGATAGCCTTTTTGTTACTTACTCTCTGCAGGCCATTTCTCCATGATATCGTCAGCTTTGCTGGAAAAACAGTTGGGCGTAGTAGAAATTGCTCGAACAGCAGAACCACGCATAAGTGCAGCTCGAGCAAGTGAACGAACTATAGGCGCGGCCATACCTGAAAACATCATCATCATGTCTGCTTTTTGAAGAGGAATCCAATACAAAGAGAAGAAAGCCATAACTACATGATGGGAACAGTGTGAACAAGCAGCTTTTCCGAATATGTTTTTTATTTACAAAGCTATTATCCGAAGGTACATTTTAAAAGCTAAACTGTTGTCCCTTGTGCAGTTTGAAAAGGTGCACATGCATTAACAGATCAAAATAGGTACGAATATTCTTTAATGCAAATTAACAAGGTAACTGATTATTTAGAAGTTATAGGTTGCCCAAGCCTATTATGTACCCGCTCGTAAAAGCACATGAACTCCGAGAAAGGCCACACATTAAAAGTCCGTCTCTATCGATAAAGTTTCCGCTAATTTCAAGAAGATATGCTGTCTACATTTATTTACTATCCACCGCAATAAATTAGTGCAAGGAGAAATTAGATGATGAGCATAAGTTTTATGCGTTGCGAAGGCTTCGGTATATGGGAAATGGTTGCTAGAATTATGATCTCCTTATGCAGTATCTAATGGTAGTTAATTTTACGATTCAACAACTTGGGCCTTTACACTGCACTTCTAGATCGAAACAAAAGTTCGAACTTATAGACCAAGCGTATTCGCTTTGCTAACTGCAGTATCTAGAAAAAGCACAAACTCGACTGAAAATAAGTTGAGTAATGAATATGAAAAGATTTGGACCTTCTCAAACTACAAGGAACCTCAGAAGAAGCAGCAAGTTTATTCATAAATTATTCTCAACCCAATTACACCATATGATAGGAGAGAAAAGTTCACCATATCATCTGAAACAAATTATGCACAAAAGAATGAAAAAATGATGTCACAACCGCAAAACAATGTGAATCAAAAAAGATCTGAACCTATTCCTTTCGGAAATCACTAGGAAAGTTTTCTCGCTCGAAAAAGAAACACATGAAAGAAGGAACCGCCCATCTCTCGTACACTTTCGCACACCTCCGCGTCGAAGACGCAACGCAGCTGGCGTTCTGCCAGCCGGATTATCCGCGGGAGAATTAACGACGTTCAAATCAAGGTCACTTCCAGTTTTGTCCTCAAAAGGATTTCGTTCGAATTCGGCAGCTGTGCCGTTTTGTTCCTCACTATAACCAGTGTCTGATTGACTCTTGTCTTTGACCTCATCATTTTGGATTCTATGGTTTGCTCACAGTTCTCTCCTACTATTTCTTAAAACCTAAGGAACTGACCGAATTATGCAACTAAAACCTTTTTCCAACTTTTTTACCCGCACAGTTGACTGCCTTATCGTTACTACTCGCATGTACAAGATAAATACAAATGTTAAGTTGATAGTTGATAAGTTGCGCGAAAAGATAGCAAAGATAAGAAAAGAGGATTACGTTCACCAATTAAAAGATTACATTGCGACCCATAAGTCTGGATATCTTCAAATTTTGTAGTTGCGAAAGTTCCAAGTTATTGTGCTTGAGTTCAGCTATGAACGGCAACGTCATCTCTACGGTAGACCTCCCATACCTACAACCTTGAACAAATAATTATAGGATTTGATTTCGTCAACTTATGACAATTCTAATTTCCAGAAAAGCTGAGTTTTTACGGCATGCTCCACATTTTAAAGGGATCAGTTCGGAGATCTTACTATATCCGAACAGCTTGCAGAAAACCCTTGGAAAGTTAATCTCGAATCGGTACAGTTAGGGTGCTTCGGGACGAAGTTGGCGGAACTGATGTTATCTTCTAAAGATGTCCTATAAAATGCTAATAGACTATGACTAACTCCCAGCGAAACATTAGTGCGACAATGCTAGTTTATGCAAACTCTTAACAAAGAGTATATCATAGGATAAACTTTTAGGTCGATATAAAACCCTACAACCATGAAAAACCTATG